TGTAGGGAATAGAGTTTAGTTTTCTTCCTAGCGGTGGAATCAGAGAGGGGCTGAGGGTGGCTCTCGACCCTTCTAAGCTCATGAAAAATTGGGGCATTTATATGCATACCACCCAATTCTTATGTATTTACATATCTAACACCTAAACTTTAATTTTTACATTTATATCACCAAATTCTTTCACATCTTTTCATGCATAGGTAAGGTAGGTATATTTAATTGAAGTTTAGTCTTAGATATGTAAATACATAATAATTATGCATGTGAGTCTTCCAAAATCTTATATAATTATGCATAGCATGGAAGTTTTACTCTTTCATTCCTTCCCCACAGCCGCACCCCCTATTAAATGTGTGGCAGACGCTCTCTTCCTCTTTCTCATGCTGCTCTTTATTTCAGACTACAGATATGAGCTTACGGATAAGGGAGATGATGTACCACAAAGTCAAGCTGAACAAAATCTTCTCAAGAATCACTGGGAAACCAGAGCACCAGGTCAATACTTTGTACTCGGGTTCTCTCTACTTAGTCATTAAATTCTACCATTTTTTGCATCATTTTATACTCTTCTGATGCTCACCATCTCTTCCTGCTTCTTTGTGCTTGTAGATTGATATAGACACAGACAGAGATTACTTCATGAATCCATGGGAAGCAAAGGAGTATGGATTAGTGGATTCTGTCATAGATGATGGAAAACCAGGCCTGGTTGCACCAATTGCAGATGCAACACCTCCTCCGAAAACCAGAGTTTGGGATCTGTGGAAAATAGAAGGTAGTAAGAAGGCCAGGAAGAATTTGCCTTCAGAGCTTAAGCTTTTTCAAAATGGTTCTGAAGTTGGCAGTGGGAGCGAGGATAAAGGCAGAGAGCAGGCGAAGGAGACGCGGACACCAGTATGAAAGCAAAGTTTTTAGTACTGTTGAGAAATACGAGACTATATTAAATTTTAGATGTTTAAACGGTCATAAGATTAATAAATCAGTGCAAATATAAGTTATTTAGGGATTCTGTTTTAGGAGATGGAGAAAATGTTAAGGGTTTGAAGTTTCTTGTAATATTCTTGTAGATGGTATATTCTAGTGTGTTAATATCTTTGCTAATTGTTGCCTGCATGCCTAATTTGCTGTGGTTAAACTGAAAGTAATGTTTGTGCCAGTTTCAGAGTTACCTGGGAGCTTTATTTTTGTCTTTTTGTTGTCCGCATCATCACCTGCAAGTTTGCAAATGCAATTATCAGGACTAGTGTTTTTTTTTTCAACATATAAAAACTGAGCTGTTTTTGTTTGTAAAAAAATTGAGTTTTTTAAAAAATTATAAAATATATTTTAGATATTCTATAAATTTTAAAAATTGATTTTGGGATTTCAACCAACATATTTTAAGATGGGGATGGTTCAGAAGCCTGCAATGTTAATTTTTTGGCTAATTAATACCATGACAAAATAAATGCCAAGTTTACAAACATTTACAGAAAGCTGGCAAGAAAATTAGCAATTTAGTAGTAATATAAGAAAAGACTAAATCATAATAGAGGTTAGTAAGTGTTTTTAGGTAGAAAGAAGAGGCGTCGCTATATCATTTATCAAGATCCCGTTATTCTGCATTTAATTTGTGCTTTTGTTTTAATTTTTGTTCTGATTTTTTTATCAAATTGGTGAGATTTTGTCATTTCACGGTATGATTTAGTTTCTAAACGGTCCTAAATCTCAGCAATGCTGAGAATTATTCTTTTTGTGATTCCTATCAACTGGTATCAGAGTGAGGTTCGATTCTAGTAGGAGCGATGGCCGAAGAAGTAAGGTTCAAAGTTGAGAAGTTCAATGGGACGGATTTCGTCTTTTGAAAGATGTAGACGGAGAATTTGTTGTATCAAAAACCTTTGTACTTGCCACTACAAGGAATCACAAAGATGCTTGAATCTATGCCTATGGTAAGTGTTAGATCGGACGACACTGAGTTTGATATATTGACCCTTTTCTCTGTTGCGTTCAACACTGTGAATGACAAAACTGTGGTGGATCTCATAATGACAACAATCAAGATGTACTTTCAATAAGATTTTTCTAATGAAAAAGTTATTCAACATGAAGATAATAGAAGATAGTTTGGTGGCAGAACATCTCAATAATTTCAACATTGTGACGAACTAGTTGTGTTATGAATCAAGTTTGATAATGAGGTTAGAGCACTGGTGATACTATCTTCATTGTTGGATAGTTGGGATGACTTAGTAACAGTCGCGAGTAATTCTTCAAGGATTTCAAAGTTGAAAATTGATGACATCATGAGTTTGATTTTGAATGAAGAAGTTTGTAGAAAATCATCGAATGTACAATCTTCAGGTTTTGTGTGGAATGCTGATAATAGGAAAAGAAATATGGACAGTAATACAAACAGAGGTAGATCCAACTTCAAGAAAGGAAAGCCTAGGTCAAGCAGAGGAGAATGCTCGAACTGTGGTAAGAATGGGCATTTCAAGAATGACTGCAAAGTTCCAAGGAAAGCTGGTTGTGAAGGACAAGAAAGTAGTTACTCTACTAATGTTTCCACTGGTAAAATCCAAAGTTTCTCTCTGGTATTATCCCTAGTCAATACGAAATCCTGGATAATGGATTCATGTGCCTCTTTTCATGTTTGCCCTAATAAAGAGGTATTTAAAAACTATGCCTGGAGTTATCTAGAGAAAGTTTATTTGGGAGATAATAAGGCCTGCAATATAGCAGGAAAGAGTGACGTTGATATCAAGTTGTCGATTGGAACAGTTTGAAAGCTTACTGAAATTAGACAAGTTTCAAGTTTGAAGAGAAATCTCATTTTTGTGAACCAGTTGACAAAGTCAAGACTCGTGACTACTTTCATAGGTGATTCGTGGAAGGTGACAAAAGGGGACATTGGTGATGGCTCGATGCAACGTTGAAGGCATGCTTTATCTGAACAATGAAATTATTGATTTCATTGATGTGGTTGGAATCATGGTGGATGCATGTCTATGTCACAGTAGGCTTGGTCATATAAGTGAGAAAGGTATGAAGTCCTTACTTTCTAAGAATAAGCTTCATGGTTTGAAATAAGTAGATCTGGATTTCTATGAACACTGCATATATGGCAAGCAGAAGAATGTTTCTTTCTGCAAGAGCGGATTAATGGTGAAATCAAAGAATTGGAGTTAGTGCACATTGATGTATGGGGTCTTACTCTAGTTCAGTCCATTAAAGGCTCTCGTTATTTTGTCACGTTCATTGATAATCACACGTGAAAGGTATGAGTTTATTTCTTAAAACAAAAATCTCATATGTTAGTAGTCTTTAAGAAAATGAGACAGGCTTGAAACTGGAGTGTCTCCGATCAGATAATAGGGGTGAGTATCGTGATCAGAAGTTTAGGAATTTCTGAGCTACATGGGGATTCATATGTGAATTCACTATCCCAAGGACACCACATCAACAGAGTGTGACTGAGAGCATGAACAGAACAATCACGGAGTGTGCAAGAGCACGAGATTGCATGCTTGCTTGCAAAAACAGTTATGGGCTGAGCAGTAAACATTGCAATTTATCTGATTAATCGTAGTCCATCAATACCTTCAATACCTTTGGAAGAAGGCTTACCTGAAAAAACATGGAGTGACAAAAATGTATGTTTATCTTATTTAAGAGTATTTGAATTTTCTGCATATGTGCGTGTAGATGCAGGGTCTAGAAGCAAGCTTGACTCAAAATTTGTCAAGTGCACCTCATTAGATATGACTCAGATGAGTTTGGGTACAAGGTCTGGGAATATCATAATAAAAAATTCATCATGAGCAGAGATGTCACTTTTAATGAAACGGAGATGTACAAGGATAAGGTCAGAACTCAGGATATCCCGTCAGCTACTTCTGGAGAAAGAAGTAGTGCTCGACCAGAATGAGCACTGAAAGTTCCTAAGTCACCTGCTATAGAAGTTAGAAGATCCAGTAGAGTGAAAAAACTTATACAAATATATTCTCTTTCTTTACATTATTTGTTGTTAATTGATAGTAGTGAATCACAATGCTTTGAGGAGACCACTCAAGTTGAAGATTCAATGGAGTAGAAGTATGTCATGGATGAAGAAATGCAATCTTTGGAGTCAAATCAGACTTGGGATTTAACGGTACAACCAAATGACCAGAAAACATTGCACAACCAATGGTTTACAAGCTGAAAGAGGAATCAGAAGGTAGCAAGCGCTGCAAGGCATGACTTGTTGTGAAAAGTTTCCAACTGAAGGAATTAGTGGACTGCACAGAGTGGTGAAGATGGTTTGAAGATGACGACTGCCAGGGCTGTGTTGAGTCTGGTAGCAGTGAAAGATCAGCATCTCAAGCAGATGGATGTAAAAATAACTTTCTTACATGGAGATATGAGGGAGGAGCTATACATGGTGTAACCACAAGGTTAAAAGGGTCCATGCAAAAAAAAAGTTTGGTCTACAGATTGAAGAAGAGTATCTATGGTTTGAAGCAAGTCCCGAGATGGTGGTACATGAGGTTTGACAGATTCATATCATACAATGGGTATATGAAGTGTCAGACAGATCATTGTTATTTCATCGAACACTTCAATGACTGTTATATTTTACTTGTTTTTGTATGTGGATGTGATGCTGATTGTAAGGGCAGATATGAAGAAAATCAGAGACTTGAATATACAATTATCAAGTAAGTTTGAGGTGAAAGATTTATATCCAACCAAAAAATCCTCGAAATGAAAATCAACAGGGATATGAGTGCAAGAACAATGAAGTTCTCTCAGGCAGAGTACATTGAGGAGATCCTACAAAGGTTCAACATGAGTGAGGTGAAACTAGTTAGCACTCTCTTAAGTAATCACTTCAAACTATATAAGGAGTTATCACCTAAATCTGAAGCATAGTAAGCACAGATGGAGAGAACTTTGTATGCTTCGACAGTTGAAAGTTTGACGTCTACAATGATTTTTATCAAGCCAGATACTGCATATACAGTGTGAGTGGTTAGCAGTTACAAGGGCAGACATCGTTGAGAGGTGGTAAAGTGGATTCTCAGGTATTTGAGGGAAACAATCAACAGGGCACTTTGCTAAGAAGTGCAATGATCACATTATAGAGTTTTGTAGATTTAGATCTGACAAGAGATGTGGATAGTAGGAGAAGTACAACGAGATATATCTTCACATTGGGGAGCACAACTACGAGTTGGGTTTCTAGGTTGCAGAAGATTGTGACACTTTCAACAACGAAGGCCGAATATGTTAATATGACTGATGATGAAAAGAAGATGATTTAACTACAGAGTTTCATGACAGGGTTGGGCAAGGAGCAAGAAATTGGAAAACTCTACAGTGACAATATGGGTGTGATTCATCTTACTAATAATATTGTTTTTCATGTCAGGACAAACCACATCCAGCTCATGTATCATTTCGTTCAATCTCTTCTCGAAGATGGACAATTATTTTTGGAAAAGTTACATCCAACTGAGAATCATGTGAATATGTTGACAAATGTGATGATTGTTAATAAACTGAAGCTATAATTGGTTTCAATTGGGTTTCATGAAGGTTGAGATCGGGGGTGAGTCATATCACGGTACATGACCACAACACGTGACTATGAAGATGATTCAGATGGAGGTGCAGATATAGAGAATTGGTGCTCAATACAAGTAGTCTCCAAGTGAGAGATTCTTATGAGTGGAGACTGATTAGGTGAGCAGCGGGACAGAGCACCCGACACCTATGTGTTGGGTTCTGGGCGCTTAAGCACCCACTTGGGTGTTGCTCGAACAGATAAGTCAGCGCCTATGTGCTGGCTTTGAGTGCAGATACGCCCATATAGATGTATGTTTCCTGAGAGCTTCGAACATATGCGCTGGCTTTGAGTGCAGATACACCCATATAGATGTATGTTTCCTGAGAGCTTCGAACATAGGCGTCAGGTTTGGGCGCCTATGTGCCAGGAGCAGTTGGTGTCGGGAATTGGTTTTTAATCCTGATTTTGAGCAGCGTAAATTAGGGCTCGGTGTATCTTCCTTTAGTATTCTTCAACGAGCATCCCAGTGAATGTGAGAAGTGCTAAAGAAGTGGATTTCGATGATTCGTCATGATTTTTACATCGGATCGAAGATGAAAGACTGTAGTGAGTGCTATAAGTTGTTTTTTTTTTTTTTTTTTTTTTTTTTTGTTAAAAGAAAATTTAAATTTGTTAGTTCTTTGTAAAACCTACTGAATTTCATAGTGAAAATTTATGGTGGTGTTACTCCGTGATTTTTTCCCGTTTTCGGATTTTTCCATGTAAATTCTCGTGTGCATTTTTTGTTGCTTTGATTGTGCTTCTGTTTTAATTTTTATTCCAGTTTTTTATCGAATTAGTGTGATTCCATTATTTCACGGTTTTGTAATTGATCTTATGCCCCAGTAAAGTTAGGAATTATTTGTTGCGTGATTCCTATCATGCTCCACTAAAGCCAAACCAATATTGATTCCAACGGATAACGAACAGCTCTATATCATTTGAGCAAAAATTCAGCTCATCTTCTAGTCCCAAAATTAGTCTCCTAAACTTAATTCAGGCTTTCTAAAAAATTTTCACTGAATTTGTTGCTTTGTAAGGTATATCAGTCAAACTGCAGTAATTCTGGACAAAAAAACACCAAACTTCGATGCTCTATTTCCCATCTATCACATAAATGTAGTAAAATGAAAAAAAATCCAATTTTGCCGGTACTGGCAGGTCCATCTTTCCGCAAGCCAACGTAAGCAATAAGCATTACCATAAAATCAGTCCTTGTTCCAGTTGCAAAACTTTATAGTGCTGACATAACAAGGCAATACTATATGATGGAACCAACAAAACCTTTTGACTTAAAACATAAACATCAACCATTTAGTGGTGTCTTTCTTAACTTATCCAATTTCATGGACATCATATAGGCCAAATCCTTCTTTCCTCCTTCAAGTAGAGTTTCCTTCAGTTTAGAAAACAACTGGCCGGATGGCCTGATTCCCTTATCAAGCATCTCCTGAAAGTATTTACAGGCTTCATCCATCCTATTCTCAAAGCACAGTCCATTGATTAGAGCTGAGAACATATGCATGCATGGAAGAACTCCTTTTTCATTCATCTGCTTCCACACTTTAAGTGCAATGTCAACTCTTTCCTCAGCGCATAACATGTTTACCATCATGGTATAAGTATTAAGTTGCGGTTCACAGTCTCCATAACTCCCCATATTCTGAAATACCTTATATGCCTCTTCAGTTTGCCCCACTTTAATAAGATGGTGGAGAATTATATCAAATGTTCTTGCATTTGGGCCGATGTGCAAATTCATCATCTTATCAACAACTTTGAAAGCATCCTCAAACCTTAAAGCCCAACAGTAAGATCCCACAACAGCATTGTAAGTTGGAATTTCATGAGGGTGACCACACTGTTTAGATAGTTCGAAGTACTTCAATGCTTCATCCAATCTCTTCTGTGAGCCCAATCCATTAACCAGAGTACAATATATGTGAGGACTTGGTTTGCAGCCCTTCTCCTCCATGTTGCGGAATATTAAGAGTGCCTCATCACAATTGCCAGATTTGCAAAATGCATTGATTAGTATTCCATAAGTCACCACATCAGGCTCAAAATTTTGTTTGATCATTTCATCATAAACTTCCTTCATCCTTGTCAAGTTTCTTTCTTGTCCCCATCCCTCAATAAGAATTGTGTAAGTTTTCAGGTCCGGCGAGAATTTCCTTCTCCTCTTTAAGTCATAAAGAATCTCCTGAGCTCGCATGACATTCTTGGATTTGCTAATGGTATCAATCAAGCTGTTATAATCAGCTAATTCAGGCTTCAGGCCAAATACTTCCATTTTCTCAAAAGCTTGAATTGCTTCTCTAATCTTTCTAGCTCTTGCATATCTCCTGCCGACTAACACAAAAGTTTCCTTTTTAAGTAGGCCTCTTTGCTTCATTGATTCAACCAAACTCCAGATTAATCTGAACTGCTTGATTTTTCCAAGCGCATCAATAAGATGGTGGAAAATCTCTGTTGTGTAAACAAAGCTCTCTTTGTTCTCAGCCCAACGAAAAAATGAGAGAGATACCATTCCAGCATTGCCGAGTTTCTTCAAGACCTCAGCAACAATGTCTGGCGAAATCCTAATCCCAGCATCATCTAGGGAGATTCTGACGTTGGAAATAGGCTGGCTAGAGAGCATTCTGCAGATTTTATCAGCATCTTCTGATATCTTCCTGTTCACAGTAGCTAAGGTTTCACTGGTTGCTGGCTCCACAGAAAATTGGGCTTTGTCCAAAAAGTGAGCAGAATTGTGAAAATCAACTTGAAGCATCAGACGATAAGGTATAAATGGAATGCAGCTCTCACTAAAAGATAGTTCCTTGTTTAGAAAGATTGACTTTTTATGATAGAATTGAACACTGAAAATGCTAATAGATCTAGAAGAACCAACTTTGAAGTCATGGCCAGCAAGTGCTGTGCCACGATGAAAGATTACTGAGCATTTCTCAGGAGAAGCAACAAATTTAGTAGTGGATTTTGATATACGCCCGACATAGTGGACTAAACCCATCTCCACAAAGCCACAGAACTTGAAAATTAG